CTGCCTGCAAGCACAGCATCAAATAGAAGCACTTGGATCAGATCATCCAGTGCCTCCAATCTCTATTTCTTGTGCATTTCTAACCTTGTCTTCTGGTTCCGAGCTAGAGGTAATGTGGTGCAATTGTGGCTGGAAGAGTTCTGGCTAGAAATAAGGATGAATTTTCAGACCATGAAAGGCACTAACTGTAGGTTACTGAAGGAGACAGGGCATCCGTTTTCCCTTCAAAACCTTAACATCGGAAAAGAGATCCATCTACCTGGAACAGCGGAAAGAAGCAGTTCCCAAATATTTTCAATCCTATGACTTACAAGAAGTTTTTTTGTTTTGTTTTTTTGAAATTGACATTTTTTTTTTTAAATTTTATTTTAATTGTTCAAGTACAGTTTTCTGTCTTTCACTCCCATCCCAGCCCAGCCCTCCAGTGCTCCCCACCTTCCTCTCATTTCGACCCCGCTAGTTTTTGTCCATGTGTCCTTTTATACTTGTTCCTGCAAACACTTCCCCTTTTCCCCTGAAATTCCCTCCCCTCTCCCCTCTGGTCACTGTCAGCCTGTTCTCTATTTCAGTGTCTTTGGTTATATTTTGCTTGTTTGTTTGTTTTGTTGTTTAGGTTCCTGTTAAAGGTGAGATCATATGGTATTTGTCTTTCACCGCCTAGCTTATGGAATTTTCTCAGAAATCTAAAAATGGACCTGCCTTTTGACCCACAAATTCCACTGCTAGGATCATATCCTAAGAACCCTGAAACACCAATGCAAAAGAACCTGTGCACCCCAATGTTCATAGCAGCACAATTTACAATAGCTAAGTGCTAGAAGCAACCTAGGTGCCCATCAGTAAATGAATGGATCAAAAAACTATGGTACATTTACACAATGGAATTCTATGCAGCAGAAAGAAGGAGCTCCTACCCTTTGCAACAGCATGGATGGAACTGGAAAGCACTATGCTAAGTGAAATAAGACTTATAAGGAGTTTTTAATAGCAGTTTTCATCCTATATTCTTCGTGTTCTGGAGGTATGTAATAAATGTCTGAAAGTTCTTATGGTGATCATTTAAACTTGAAGGTTGGATGAAAATGATAAAACAAGCATCAGCTTCCCTTTGGCAGATGCTTCCCAGGTGTTACGTGGGGGTTCCCAGCTCCTTGGAGATCTCGAACCCCCACTTCATAGTCCTTGAGAAGGTAGAGTCTCCTCAATCCCTCCAGAGTTCAGTGAGTTCCTGGCAGTTTGCTTCTTTAAGTTTCTCTCTTTTTCTCCCATCCTGTGCTTTTCACACTGTGACCTATGGGTGTGTTGGCTCAGTCCTGCCTGTAAAAATCAAGAGCTAACTTCCGTTCTTTACTTGAAAGTTACTTGCCTCAGGCATTTCACAAGTTCATCGTCTGTAAGGATGTCTTTGAGGGTCAGGTTAAGGGGAGGGAAGACACAGGGGTGTAGGGCCTCCTGCCGGGTTTTGTCCCCACCCTTTTTTGGTCTCTAGGTTTCTTCCTCTTCTAACTGAATGGCATTGTTTCTTTTTTTTTCTGTAGAAAACAACCATGTTCTTGGACAACCATGTCCAAGAGAGAGATTACTCTTTCTGTAACTTCAAGTATCTTTCCTGTTTTTGCTTATGAGTTTTCCTCTTGCAGAGAGGGCTGGAAGCATCTGCCATGCTAAGGGTTCACATTTGTTGAGCACATTTAGCAAAATAGGCTCATAAAGTCAAAGGTAATTTTGTAGTAGTAACAAGACCTCACCTGAAGAATAAAATGATTTTCCCTGCTAGTGTAACAGTCCTAGGAGAAGGGAGAAGCTGGGTCTTTCTGGAGGCTGAGGACTTGGGAAGGGCCGGACACTGGGTCAGACAGACGGCAGCAAAACCCAGCAGGGATGGTGGGCTCGTGCTGATAGTCAGCATGAGAGAGAGAAATGGCTTGGGAGGAGGAGCAGGAAGGGGACAGCAGAACTGAGTTAAGTGGGAAGGGAGCCCTATTTGTCTTACTTTTCCTTTCTAAGGCACTGCCCCCCCCCCCATTTTAATATCTCTGAAATTGTGATGAGTCTTATGTTAGAAAGCTTCCTTCAATTGCAGGCAGCTGGGTGGTGGTCATGACCTTCCTTGGAAACCTTTTGATAAGATTGGGAAAGTAGCAGCACCAACATCTTCTAGACTTGGTAAAATACGGTTCATGATGAATTGTAATTTGGGAGACTTACCTAAACTCTATCCTTAAAAATAACCTAATTCAAGAGATTTCCAGGTGTGGGAACCACAGAGAATAAAGCCACCTGCCTGGAGTATAAAGGGGTGTCTCTCCGTCAGGGAGGTTCCTTAGGTCCAGGTGTTGGCAGGGGTCTTCCCCACGTTGTGCAGAAGAGCAGGGCCGAGGGCCCAGTTAGACCAGCTGGGCCAAGCTCGGCTGCATAGAGGTAGTAAAAGCAGGCGGAGCCTCTCATAGGGCATAGTCTGCTTCCCAGGTGCTCAAGCCTGGCAAAGGTTACTGCATCTGTGAAGTACGTGGGAAAGTTACATCTCCAAAAGTGCTTTCCATTTCAGGAGGTTCTGAAGTCATTTCGGTTTTTCTATTTCAATCAGCTTGTATGACTACAGATAAGTCATTTGCCCTTTCTGGACCTTAATCACTTCACCTGTATGTGAAGGGGCTGGACCACATCTCCAAGATTCATTCCGACTCTGACCATCTCTAATTCTGTATCCTAATTTATGCTAATAAACCCAAGAGACAGTGTTCCCCTAATCTTTTTTTTAATCCTCACTGGAGGATACTTTTTCCCCCATTGCTTTTAGAGAAATAGGATGGGCACTGACATGAGAGAGAAGCATCAACTAGTTGTCCTCTGTGCACCTGGACTGGGAATCATCTGCGCCCAGACCACCAGGGACCAGACCCACAACGCAAGCATATGCCCCGACCCGCAGGGAGTTGAACCTGCGACCTCTCAGTTACCAAATAATGCTCCAATCAGCTGAGCCACACGGGCCAGGGCAGTCCCCCCAAACTTAACCTCAGGGGAAAGGGGGATTTCAACCAAGAGGGGGCTTTGCTATATAGGCCTTTAGCAACAGTGGAAAAATCAGGACTCTGGTGGTGTTGGGGGCCCAGTTTCGGACAGACAGGTCTGTTGGTAACCCTCAGTTACACCAGTACTGACAATGTAAGTTTTAGGACTGATCAAGGGCTTAGAACATAACCGAACCTTAAAACCTTTTAATTAATATGTAAACCCAGCTTTTCAAACTAAAATCCAGCAATGATTTCTCTAAAAACAGTATCTGCACGTTTCTTGGCTTTTTCTCCGCGGTGGTATCAGACAATCTCTTGGGAACTCCCAGCCGAGGAAGGCAGGGCTGCTTGTCGTTTGGTTGTGGACACCTTCGGATGCGGGTGGGGTTTCCTTCAGCAGCAGCAGCTGAGCGTCTACCGAGGGCCCTTTACTGGGGAAGGGGGCCCGAGGATGAACAGAAGTGGTCCCCTCTCTCAGGAGACAGGCAACCGAAGAAAGAAAGCTCCAAGAAAGTGACACCTGAACAGGGTTTTGGACAGAGGGTGAAGAGGAGCAAATGAGGTGAAGGTGAGTGCATTCCAGACGAGCAGGATAAGCGAAGGCCTCCAGGTGGGGGAAGAGCAGCTGAGTATGTCAGGGTCCAGGCGGAGAGGGTGAGGGTGGATGCACGGGTAGGCAGGGAAGCTCGAGAAGGGCCTGTACCTCAGCTCAGGGGTTTGGACTTATCCTGAAGGCATGGGAGGGAGGGTGGACCGGTGTCACTGAAGATATTTCAGCAGGGGGAGGGACATTTCCCAGTACCATAGCAGCAGGGCAGTGACCGGGTTAAAGAATAAAGTTCGTTCAAATCTTCACTTCTGAACCGAGGGCCCTTGGGACAGTCATGGATTTTACCACACAACGGTCAGGAAAGGACGGGAGCCCTGTGAAGCACAGAGGGTGAGAGCCAGGGAGTCGGGAGTTTCATCTCAGGTTAAACAGAAAAACATGGCTAATAAATTGCACTGGGCCTCAGCTCACCTTGATCAGACTAATCAATAGCTTTGGGCCTGAGTGAGTGATCTCCTCAGGGTGGGGGTTTGTCTCCCTGACCAGAGGAGCTCGCCTTGCCTCATGGCCCACAGCACCCCCAACACTGTCTCCAGAGTCAGTGGTGCTGGGCGCCCGTCCTCCCCTCAGGATGCTCCACTCCAGGAGAGCGGGAGTTTTTGTCTTTCTTCCTCAGTGCCGTCTACCCGGTTGCTGGCCCGGTGACTGGCTCTAGGAAATGCCCAGTAAATATCTCTTGAACTGGGAACAAGAGTCACACAGAGGTATGATCAGAGAAGGGAGCCAGGGGGGTATGGTTTTCCTTCTGGAAGATCACGATGGATGAAACCCAGAGGCCGGGAGAGTCAGCTGAGAGAGGAAAGGGCTGCGTGCTTCACTCTGGCCTGTATTTCCGCATTGGTGAGATGAGGTCAATGGACGAAACAATTGGGAGAGTTTCTCCTTCTAATCCTAACCTTTCATGCATGGAAAAGTAGTCTTTGCCTGCCACTGTCTCTCTCCAGGACTTCTGTGATCAGAAAGGCACGGCTACAGGCAAACTGAAGAAAAACATCGTGACTGTAGCCCACTAACTCGAAGGATTTTTATGAAGGTGCAAGAGATTTAACCAGAGAGGCAAGATCTGGACTGTTTGGAATATGTTCTAGGAAAGAAATATTTACTTTTATAGGATGCATTAAACTGAGTTCCAATTACTTCTATAAAAAGCAAAATGTTGTTTGAGAAGACAAAGAGAAAGGAGAGAGAGAGAGAGAGAGAGAGAGAGAGAGAGAAGCAGCCCTGTCTCACCCACCGACAGAGCAGAGCCTGAGGAGCTGCTGCCAGGAACCGTCCCCGAGCCATGCGCACTGTGGAGCTGCGGGGAGGTGCTGAGTGGGAGGACTTACTTCCCTGAGGCAAAAAACCCAACCAGCAACCAGTAAGCTACTCACCGGAGGTCTCTTCCAGATGAACTGGATGGGGAACTTCTGGCTATAAAAGAGAGAGGTCTCATCTGGTGGGAACTCGGGATCCACGTAAAGAACCTTCTTTTCTAGACATTTCTTGTGAAGCTGCTCAAATGTCTTCTCTTTCACGCCAATAATGGGAAAATTGCGGCTGATGATGGCTGAATAGATGCCACTTGGATTGCCTCCCCCCGCCATGGTGGTCTTGCCCTGGGCCGGAGGGGGAGTCGGCCCTGGGGACCTGGGCTCAGCCCCCGTCTGTGGGGCCACAGACGGGCTAATGACAGTCGGCATGGCAGGCAAATGTGGAAGGAACAGGTTTTTAAAGAAAACAAGACACGGCTACCTTCAAGGAAAGGAAGCGACCACAAAGGGGAAGTAGAAGTGATTCTGTCACCTGAGAGAAAAACGTCCGCATCCAATTCAAAGTTTAAAGCCCATCAGAAAGTTGTCCAGCTTGCATTCATCTTAAAAACTGGTCGGTGATCCCGAAGCCATGGGTTCTCCTGAGGAAGGACCACCAAAGGATTTAGGCCCCAGTTTTTACCTGGGGGGGCTCCCACCAGCAGCGTGCATGCCAGAGGGAGAGAAAGAGAGTGAGGGTTGTGTTTCAGTGGCCGGAGGAAGCTTGAGCCAGGAAAACTAAAAATAGACAGGAAAGATCATGAGCAGGAGAGCAAAAGTGAGGGGAGTGTGCAGCTTGATTGTGGGCTCAGAGAAGAAGGACCTGGCTAGGGACATTTATGTGTCGCCATTAAGTGCTGATGTCAGGGAATGAAAGGAAAATATTTGAGTAAGTTGAGCAGTGAAAACTAACAAAGAACCACTGAGGCGTTACTGAACTGGCTGTATACAGAGCATCAGATCGGTGGCCACCAAATCATGGCAAGACATTATTGAAAAAAGCTAAAAAGGATGAGATACTGAATTCCAGGATAATTCTAGGCATTTTTGAGAGTATGATTTTTACTTTTTAGAACTCTAGGGTATCAGAACATTTCAATTTGGATTTGGTATCTCTTCTAGAATGTTCTGGTGTCAGTGTTGAGTGCAGCTGTCTGAGCAGAATGTGCCACTCAGCAGAGTCCTCATTGTCTCTTCTGGCCCACTTGACCTGGCCACCTCGAGTGTCTCCCCACCCCTAGAATAAACACTGGGACCAAAACTGTCACAAAAAGTGCCCCTGAATACCAATTCCCCAGGCACATCATGTTAGTCATCTGAGTCAGAGCTGGGATTGGCTACTAAACCGGGTTGGTGGTCAAGTCCCAGGATGTCATTCCAAACGAGCTGGCCTCCGGGCTTCTAGGTGGGAGCCCAGTGGCTCTGGGGAGGGGAAGTTTCCACCTGCCCTCCACCTTTTCTTCTACCCACAGTAGCTGCGACTCAGGCTGAAAGGAAATGGCCACATTTCAAGTGTGGCTGAGTCGATGCTTGTCCCAGACGGTGCCCCTGCCTGCTCCCAAGGTTAGAGGCTGTGAGAGAAGAGGAAAGTGACCACTGAGATAGGGAGTATACCAGGCTTGCGACCCCTGCGGTTGCAGTTTTGAGGAGCCCTGTGTCTGGAACTGCACCTTGTAGGAGCCATCAGCCTGTCCTCCTGGCCCTCTGAGGAAAAATCCAAAGATTTTTACTGCTGCTCTTGGAGAGGCAGAGAGAGAAGGGCAGCCTCTGAAGGCTGACTGCCTTGCTTCAGAGTCTGGGCCTGCTTCTCACTGGTTTTGCCCAGGTAACTTTCAGTGAGTTACTTCTTTCTTTTTTCCTGTGGCTCATTTTTCTCACCTATAAAATGGGTATAATGATAGTCATTCTGATATGCGGCTGTAAAAATTAAGTTTTGTAAAATATTTAAAATAATGCCAGGATTGCCTTAAACACTCAATAAATGCAGCTGTTAGAGATGACCTGAATTTCCTACTAGTTGGAGGTTAGATCAGGTTGAATGACAGTCATTCATTGGAGAAAGTCAGCACTCACTCTGTGGCATGAACTCACTCTGTGCACAGCCCTGGGACAGCTGTGATCTGCCCAGGAACATGTGGTCACAGCATCTCCAATGAGAGGCCTGTCTGCCTGCCTGCACTAAAAATGCCTCTAAAAAGAATGTCTCCCACCCTCAAGCTCACCAATGGCATGGAAAGCATATGGGGGGAGGAATTTTCTTCCCCATTTTCATATGATTGAGTCCCAACTCAGTGCTCTGTCCATTCCACCTTGAAATTCCCAGCACTGACCCGCATTTTATTGTTTCTATTTACTGAGCTTCCTGTTTGCCTGCTAGACTAAGTTCTGTGAAGGTGGAACTGGGTCCCCATTCTACCTTCAGAGTTAAGCATCTATAAAAGGCTCTTAATAAAAATGTATTGTATTTCTGCTGAATGAAATTTCCCTATGTGAGGAGAAATTTCTTACACTTCTTATTGCTTGGCCAATGCAATAAAAGTTTCTTGGCTGATTCGCCCCTGGGGGAGGAGCTGCCTCTGGGCCACACACATGTTGATCTTTCCTTTCTCAGCTGCCTAAGCCAGCTCCATCTGTTAGTAACTAAGACAAGTATGTGACAGAAATGAATCTCTAATCATAGAAGGATGGGAATATCAAACACACAGAGCGGGTGCTATTTATTTTGCTCTACCAGTTGCTGTGGATAAATTAACCCCCTCTCAGATTAGCAGGTCCAAACTCAGAGTTTATTCAGCTACCCAGCTGTAGAAATGCATGCTATTGGGGAAAAATCCAATCTCAGCCCATGAACAAAGGGCAGATAATGAGCAAATAACAGCTGCATGTTTCAATTTCCAGAAGCTTCTTCCAGGATAAAGAACTAGTTTAAAAAATTTTTTTAAATGTATTGATTGATTTTAGAGAGAAGGTGGGGGGAGCAAGAAATGTCTATTTGTTGTTCCACTTACTTTTTAAAAAAACTTTATTTATTTATTTTTAGAGAGAGGGGAAAGGAGGGAGAAAGAAAGTGAGAGAAACCTTAAAGTGTGATTGCCTTTCACATACCCTCCACCCCAACTGGAGACCTGGCCCACAACCCAGGCATGTGTTGTGACTGGGAATCAAACCAGCAACCCCTTGGTTCTCAGGCCAGCACTCTAGCCATTGAGCCACACCAGCCAGGGCTGTTGTTCCACTATTTTATGCATCCATTAGTTGATTCTTGTATGTGCCCTGACCAGGGATTGAACCCATAACCTTGGCATTTTGGAACAACACTCTAACCAACTGAGCTACCCAGCCAGGATAAATGACTAGTTTTTATAAAATATTTTGGTCAAGGTTATGCAATATCTGTGGCTGGAACGATTTCTATTGCAACAAAAAGGCCAGTTAATGTAGCTGTATTGCTCTCTTTTCCACCAATAAATCTACTTTGATTTAACACTGTTGGAAGCAGTATATTTACTTATGATTATAATAATACCTAGCATTCAATAAGAACCTAGTATAAGCCAGCTACATCACATGGTTTAAAAAATTGCTAATTTAAAAGTAGTTTTAGACTTACAAAAGTATTGAAAAGGTAGTGTAGCGTTTCTGCATGCACTTTACCCAGCTTCCCCTAATGTTTACATCTTACGTAACCATGGTACAATGCTCAGAACTGAGAAATTTATGTTGGCATAATTCTGTTAACTCAACTACAAGACATATTTGGATTTCTTCAGTGCTTCTCCGATGTTATTTTTTCCCCTCTGTTGCAGGATCCATATTACGATCCTGAATTGCATGTGTCATAACCCCTTAGTGTTCTTTGATCTCTGACAGTTGCACAGTCTTTCTCTCTCATGACTTTAGCACTTCTGAAGTCATACTGTAGAATGTCCCCCAAGTTAAACTTGTCTGCTGTTCTCACAAGATCAGGCTAAGGCCATGGGTTTGGGGGAAGAACATTACAGGGGTGATGTGCCCTTCCCATTAAAGCATAACCAGAGGTCCATGATATCGATGTCTTTTATAACAGGTGACGTCAGCCTTGGTTCCTCAGCTAAGGTGGTGCCTATCAGGTTTCTCCAAAGTCAAGTTACTATTTTTTCCTCTCTACACACATAGAAAATATTTAATTTGTACAACAACCCTGCAGGTTTGATTAATTCCATTTTATGACCAAGGAGACTTGAGATATCAGCTGTATTTTATAATTAAGTGCTAGAAAACTCACAGAGTTTTGGAGATTATCTCGTTTGATTAACAAATGAGGAAACCAAAGCCTAGAGAGATTAAATGACAAGGCAAAGATCACTCGGCTGTTCACCGCAGAACCAAACTAGACCCCAGGTCTCCTGATTTCCAGTGAAGGACTAAATGCATGACCAAGACTCCAACAACATGAATTAGACAGATGACCTCTGGATCCTTGCATATAGATAGCCGGGGCTTCCCTTTCCCTAGCTCTGATTGGAGAGGAATCTAACACCATCAGCCCTGCTGGAAACAACTGTCAAGAAGCAGCTGCCTAGTTCTGGCTGGCCTTGCTGAGGTTCTAGTCTTTAGCAAGGCTGGTCATGGGATAGGCAGATCTGATGTCAGATGCCAGTGTCTCCTTTATTTCTCCCAGAACGCCAGGTATATGGCCTCGTAGTCTCTGGTTAATGTGTTTTTCTGTTTCCAGTGAAGCTGCTGTTGTCTTTCTAGACCCTGGGCTGAGAAATTATTTTAGTCTAGAGTGCCCCTGCTAGAATTGTGCAAGACATTCCAAGGATTTGGTAGATGGAAACCTTAAAAGCAGAGTGGAGTGACTGATACTGTCACAGGAATTCCATTACTAAGAAAGCTGTTAGTTAAATAGGATGGCCAATTAGGAGCTAAAAACCATTAAGCTCCAGATAGTTATGTGTTTTGATTGTGTTTCTACTGCCTATTATAATACCATGATACTGAAAGGGATGTGAAAAAGTACAGGAATTCTGCACACAGACCAGACTTGAGAACTGCAGTCTTTCTTATGGCTTTCATGATCTGATTGGTGAGTTTTAGTTAACCAGGACACAAGGTGCAGAACATCTTTACGGCAAAAACTATGGTGACAAGCTGTGCTTTCTGCTCGAGGGAGCACTTAGGTACATGGGCCTATCCGGGCTTGGCTCTGATCCTGTTGATACATGAGACTACGACCATGGAGCTTACTTAGTTCCGAAGTGAGATATACCCCAGAATATAATTAATCCTATGGGTCAGTCTTAAATGAAACCAGTCTCCTTGGGCAGGCAGTGTCTTGGTACCTAGTCTAACTGAAACCCACATCCTGGTTTCACTTCTGTCAGGAACTGACCACCCAGGTACACCAAGAGCCTGGATCTGATTTGCGGGAAGACTTAGATCTGGGGTGAGAAGGAAGACGATCACGCTGGCCTTCCAAATGTGTAAAGGACTTTCCCTGGCCACTCTCCAGGGGATCTGCCTAAATAAATGCCCACCATAAACGTGTATTCTATTCTATCTCCCAGTGTAAATACCATCCTGCAGTCCCCCTGGTCAGCTCCTGTGGTTAGACAAGACCTCTCTGGTGTAGGGTCGGGAGCTGCTGGCCTGGTGTTTGGAGGATGGTATGTGTATTCCCT